TTGTCCCCATGGAGGTGTCCCCAAGGAGATGAGGTGTCCCTATGAATGTCTCCCCAAGGAGATGAGTTGTCCCCATGGAGGTGTCCCCAAGGAGATGAGGTGTCCCCATGGACATGAGGTGTCCCTATGAATGTGTCCCCAAGGAGATGAGATGTCCCCATGGAGGTGTCCCCATAGACATGAGGTGTCCCCAAGGAGATGAGGTGCCCCCATGGACATGAGGTGTCCCTATGAATGTGTCCCCAAGGAGATGGGATGTCCCCAGGGAGGTGTCCCTGATGGACATGAGGTGCCCCCATGGAGCTGTCCCCAGGGAGATGAAGTGCCCCCAAGCAGACGAGTTGTCCCCATGGAGGTGTCCCCAGGGAGATGAAGTGTTCCCAAGGAGATGAGCTGTCCCCAGGGAGATGAAGTGCCCCCAAGCAGACGAGTTGTCCCCAGCGAGGTGTCCCCAGAGAGATGAAGTGTCCCCAGGGAGATGAAGTGCCCCTAAGCAGACGAGTTGTCCCCACGGAGGTGTCCCCACACACACCACACCCCCCCCCTCACCGATCCACCTCCCTCCCCGTTCCCCGCCCCCCCCCACACCTGTGGCCTCCACCATCCCCTCGAGGATGACGACGATCTCGAAGTCGTCCCGCTCCAGCTGCCCCCGCGAGACGTCCCAGAAGGGGCTGCGCTCGTCGATCTCGTGGCTGATGACGAGGGGCGACACGAGGAAGAGCCGGTCGTCGCCCGTCTCGAAGCCCACGCTCAGGTCGGTCTGGTCCAGGGGGATGAACTCGCCCTCGCGGGTCTGCTTGGACTGGATGAGCTTGGCCCGGATGGAGGCCTCGACGATGTGGGAGTCGCGCAGGTCGCCCACGCGGAACATGAGGCACAGGCGGTCGTCGCGCAGCGAGACCACGGCGTGCGAGGAGAACACCAGGGTCTCGGCCCGCTTGGTGGGCTGCGAGATCTTCACGAACATGCAGCCCACCATGAAGGCGTTCACCATGGAGCCCAGGATGGCCTGGGGGGGACGAGAAACGCGCTCAAGGGGGGGCTCGGGGGGGTGACCCCAAGGAGG